GTGGGGGGGGGGTGTTTAATTAGAACAAAGTGCAGCTCACAACTGTTAAGTGACTTGTCTGAAGCCACACAGCCAGGAAGAGGTGATGAATTTGAATGCAGGATTTGGACCCAGGTCTGGCTGACTCCAGACCCACATCATTAAGGGAATCCCTGTGGGTAAAGAGGTATGTGGCCTGCAAGTTGAAGAGTCACATACGTTTTTACCATGAGGAGGGGCTATGCAGAGAGAAAAGCCTAGAGACATCCTCAAGGCTGCTGCACCATCCAGATGAAGAATCTGAGGCTCAGAGAGGGAACACAACTCACCCAAGTTCGTCCAACTAGAAAAGGGCATTGCTGAGCCTAGGATCCAGCTCCATTCCATGATTGTGGGGACATAAGGAGTTGGAGGAGCACTGTTCATCCCTGATCATAATGAGCCTTGGAGACAGCAACAAGTCAAGTGGCAGTGAGGGACAACCCAGCCATTATACCAATTAAGAGGGCATTAAATTAAGGGGATGCTTGCAGCCCTTCAGTTAGCAGCCAGTGTTCTGACAGCCGCACCATTCTCTATGAGTCCAACAGGGCTTGCGTGGGGCACAGAGAGCAGCCCCTCACACCCTGGCTCTCTACTAAAGCACTTAATTGTCCAAGAGAAAATAACCACTCCTGCCCAGCTTTGAGTGAAGCTACCATAAACTAATTGAAATTAAATGGTTTGGAACTGGGAAGGGAAAGGGCCACTAGTAGGAAAATACGGAGCATACATTCATGCAACAAATATTTATTCAGCATCTTTCTGTGCCCAGCATAGTGCTGTGAACTACAAATATAGCAATGATCAAAACTGGTAAAGGCCCTGTCTTCGTGGAGATTATATTTGTGATAGGATTGAAATCTACCCTCCACAGCTCATAGGCACAAAAAAAGTATAGGTTTATTTTTTATAACTGACATTTTTTTCTTGTGCCCCCCCATCTATTATTGAGAGAAATATAAACCTAATGATTAACAGTAACTTAGTCTCTTCCAGTTTAAAATGGTCTCACTTAGAGAAGTACAGGCATACCTCATTTTATTGCACTTCACAGAAGTGTTTTCATCAACAATGAGGCAGGATCCTCTACCAGTGAAATAACTACAGCTCACTAAAGGCTTAGATGATGGCTAGCATTTTTAGCAATAAAGGTGTTGTTTTTTTAATATGTTTTTATTGCCCTGCTCAGTGGTTAGTGCAGCAGAGAGAAGAGCCTGATGACATTTGGATATCAAAATCCAGTCAGCTCCACCCTGTGCTTCCATGGTTTGGTTATGTGAACCAATAAATCCCCTTCTCTTGCTAACTAGTGAGAATTGGGTTTCTGTCACTTCCAACAAAGAATCATTGATTGATACCGATATCTCCAGCAATGGAAAAGTTGAGGAGCCTTCAAGTGGCCTCCCAGGCAATAGATATTCACAGGTAGAAGCTGGGACAAGAAAAGAGGGGCCACATAGGGATGACTGCCAATAGCTGGTTTTGAGCATATAAGAAATACCTTCTGGGAACTCCTAGGAATGCACATATCCCCTGCTTACTACTACTACTACTACTACTACTACTACTACTACTACTATTACTACTACTACTACTTACTTCTCTCCCATCAATTGGTTGCCTCCCATACATGCCCCAGGCAGACCACTGATCTCCCTAATGTCTCAGCCAACAAATATAAAGGGACTAACTCCTTCTAGGAGGGGTGAGAGTGGATGGTGGAGCTTAGAACTGCATGTCCAATACAGTAGCCACAAGCCACAGTAATTAAATTAAAATTCAGATCTTTGCCTGGCCAACATGGCTCAGTAGTTGAGCATCGACCTATGATCCAGGAGATCGAGATTCAATTCCTGGTCAGGGCACATGCCCACGTTGTGGGCTCAATCCCCAGTGGGGGGTGTGCAGGAGGCAGCCGATCAATGACTCTCATCATCGATGTTTCTGTCTCCCTCTCCCTATCTCTCTCTGAAATCAATAGGGACATTTTTAAAAAAATAAAAATACAGATTCTTAGTCAAGCTAGCCACATTTCAAATGATCAATATCCATCTGTGGCTAGTTGGCTACTGAATTGGACAGCACAGAATTATAAAACATTTCTACCATCACAGGAAATTCTACTAGACATTGATCATCTGGAGAATTACGTTTTACTAAATGCTTCCTATAAAATATAGCAGTCTGTTGAAGCATCTCAGAGGACATATTCTGCAGTTACTAGCTGTGTAACTTTGAGCAAGTTACTTAACTTCTCTGTGCCTCATTTTCTGCAATTGTAAATTGGGAGTCATAATAGTATCTACCTCATGAGGTTGCTCTGAGGATTCAATGAGATAATCCGTGTAAAACACTTGGAATACTACTCGCCCATAGTAAATCCTCAGTTCCTGGTTAGTTTTTTGTAATTATTGTTTTTTATTTTTATTTAAACCTCACAACACGTCTATTAGATGGATACTATTATGATCCCCATTTACAGATGGGAAAACTGAGGCTCAGAGACCTGAAGCAACTTGTCCGAAGTCATACGGTGAGAAAATGACAGAGCAGGCTTTGAACTCCAAAGCCTACAGTTTTCTAGACTTCTTCCTTTGAGGGTTGGGGATGGATCTGCCCCTAGGCCAAACTGGAACTTGGTCTAGTTCCACAGTCCTCTTTGCCAAGATGAGTTCCTGCCAACCCTACTAGAGTCTCCAAGCACTTGACTGATGCCCCATCCCCATCAGCAGGGCCTCCACCGTCAGCTGGCACCCATCAGAAAGCCTTCTCCTTCCTGCTGCCCTAGACGAGGTGCTGAACCCTGGAGCAGAGTGCAAATAGAACATGAATTCTGCTGACAGGGTAATAATAAGGCTCCTAAATCAGCACTTGGGCTTTTTGCTTTATATATATTACTCAAATTACATGTCAGGGATTAATATACATTATAAACCAGATGTGTCGGTTACATATTTCTCTCTGGAACATCTCTTGGGTGCCTCCTGAAACTGCTACTCTGATTAATCACACATTCTTCCCACCATGGTGGGGCCAGACTGACAGCAGGAGGGATCAGGAAGGATGGGTGACCTAGAGGAGCTGTAAAGAACCAGAGGCTGATTTTCTCACTTTGGAACCAGGCCCAGCTGCACTGGGTTTCACAACCACCTCTGTATCTTTCTGCTGTGCAAGTTGTGGCTTTCAGCCTGTTGTCCCCAATGCTTAGCCACCTAGTGTCCCCAATGCTTAGCCAGGGTAAGCATTGGGGACACCATGGCACATAGTACCTATTCAGAGATGCGTAGAGGCTACTCATTGCCTACCACAGGTCTATTCTTGTTTCCAGTGAGCAAAACTCTGATATTGTTTAGGGCTGCAATGTACCAAGCTGAAAATAGCTTCCCAATTTCCTTGTGGCTAGGTATGGGTGTGTGAACCAGCTCTGGCCAATAAGATGGAAGAAGTATTTGGGGGATTCTAGGACTATCACTTCTCAATTCCTTTTCTCCCTTCCTGGAACATAGTCATGATGATCACAGCTGCAGCCATCTTGCAACCATGAGATAACAAGCATGAAAACAAAAGCTGACGTGCTAGATTGGAGGTGTAAAAAGATGGAAGAATTCTGGAATCGTGGCTATACCTGAGCTTTGGTACCAGACACATTGTTATATAAGAAAAATAAGCCCTTACCTTAAGTTTGCAGTTATTGGGGCTTATTGCATTCCTGATACATTTGCTTTCTGAGCCCCTGCTATCCACAGAGAAGCCACTCTTGGTGAACCTCCTCAGTCCTTGCCTTCTATGAATTGTGCCTATCATGACATTCTTGCCCACATCTGCTTCTCAGAGAGTCTTCACTACATTCCCTGCTGGGTGGGCAGTGTACCACAGCCATAGCTGATTGATTCAGTGGATAAACCAAACCCAGCCGGATTCTCCCTGAGAATTTCAACTGAACCCAGAGATTCACATTCAGAACACATAAACTGGCAACTGCAGCCCATCATGGCCCTGGGAGGTATTTGTTTGGTGTGTATTTTTTTAGATTTTTGATATTAGAAAAACATGAGATTTCTATAAAAATCTGGATTTCTGGCTTCTCTTGAAGTAGTAGAAGTCTGGCATCACCAGGCTCGGCAATAAAGGAAGGCTGTGAGATGTGGCTATTCTCTCGAGAGAGGCACACGCTCTTCCATATTCCATAGTCTCCATCCTGTCCCAGTGCATTCTTACACATGGCTCTACTCCCACTTATTCCTGTTACCTGCCTGGCTCCTGTACACACTTGAGTTTAAAGACATCTGCTCTAGCCCAGCTGGGCGTGGCTCAGCGGTTGAGCATCGACTAGGATCCAGGAGATCACGGTTTGATTCCCGGTCAGGGCACATGCCCGGTTGCG